TTTTTTTTTATGTTTTTAGTTGGTGACCCACAAGTTGGGTCACCGTTAAAGCTAGTCTTACTAGTACAATGCTCATGTACGAGCGTTCTATAAAAAAATAATTGTCCCACAAAAGTGAATTAAAAAAACTATAAATAACTAATAAGAAAATATTTTTTTAGGATTATTTCGAATGCTATAAAATATTGTCGGCGATTACTAGGCAGCGACCCAACTGGACTCAAGGACGGCAACTCGGACTGCTGACACCCGACGGGCGGTACGACAATGGCGCACAGTGGACAAGAAGCAACCGACGTTTTTCAGGCAACCAAATGATTTGGACAAGAAGTCTGCTGGAGTGAGAATTCTAGTCTGATAAGAAAAATTCGGTTTGAATGGGACATGAACTGAATAGATTCCTAATTCAACTCGAGTTCTAATTAATGGCCATAATAGTGAGATTTATTTCCATATTATTATTACTGCTATTTATTTTTATGCATAGTTAATTAACTTATTGCTTTGTGGCATGTGATTAATTATAGAATTGCATAAGTAAAAATCATCAATTAAAAATTATATTAAGTTTGAGAATGATATTTAAAATTAAAGTTAATTTTAAGTACCTAAGGCCTACGTTTCTGATTTGTTGTTAAATCAATTAATTGAAATATGGGCTCCCCTCGGGTGACATCACTAAAATTAATTGTAAGAAATTACTAGAACAAATTTATAATTGGACGATTGTAGAAAATCTTATGAGAGCATGCGGACTTCTTCTCGAGAAATGGGCATCTCGGAGTCCCTGATTTTTATTGCATGGGCAAAATGAGACCAACTATTAATTTTGTTTGCCATGAATTGGGTTTTGGCTTATGGAAATTAATGGGTTCTTGAAAAACTCTTCTCTTGCGAATGTTGAGTACGTAGGGTTACCCTCATATCATACGTTACTCACGGTGTTTTGAAATATCGGTGAATTTAAGTTAATGTTGTTTTGAGGATATCAAGTATCAACGTTAACAGTTAAATTCAAAATGTTTAATTAGTAAAATTATTTCTTGATTCTCTAGTTTATTCAACACGTCATTCAAATTGTTGTCCTTTATTCTCAACGATTTACTGTTCGAAATTGATTAGAAATAGAACTTGGGTAGTGTCCCGAGTTGCTGGGAGTGCGAGCCGTAGGGCGAGTGTTCCGATTAAGCAAAAGGACACAGGAAATCGAATGTACCTATCATTAAGACAATAAAGGTAAATTTTATTCACTTAGAAGTCGAAATATTTCTAGAAAATAGAATCGAATGAGTGATAGGTAGATTTCCATCTAGAATGGGAGGCTACGAAAGTGGCAGTTATTGCAGCGATAGTTTTCTGTATATAGAATTATTTGGTTTTAAGTAATTATCTTCGCGTACCAAGTTTTAGAATGAATTCAGTTTCATTTTCTAAATTGTTTATGGATATAGCGTATTGTTTGAGGGCAAGTGTGTTGTCTAGAAAATAAAACGTTTATTCATTTGGTACGTGAGTAGATAATTAGTTGACTCAAGTAACAAAAAAATGTCACACATTGCAATAAATGAAAGTTCGTGACACATCGACTAAAACCAATAAGAGATGAGGTATCTTTGGGCAAATAAATGTGAAAAGCCGTGTACTAACAACAATTCACATATAAAATTAATCAAAATCCTAGCAATATAGTTAACAAAATCCGATAACTTTAGTAAGACAATTTCAATCATTATCTTCAAGATCTTGTAGTATTATGAAAATTGTGAACATATAAAATCGCACAGAATCTGCCGACATTAGTTAAAAAAATTCGAACTAATTTTGCTATGAGAGATTAACTACTTAAATTTAATATTAACACGTGGGATATAGTTAACAAAATATGATAACTTTTGTAAGTCAATTCCAATCATTATCTTCAAGATCTTATAGTATTATGAAAATTGTGAACATATAAAATCGCACAAAATACGTTGACATTGGTTAAGAAAATCCAAACTAATTTTGCTATAAGTGAATAATTACTTAAATTAAATTTTAACGCGTAAATTATATTTTTACGCGTGGTGCTCATTGATGTTACTTAAATTAGTAAGTCAAAACATTATTTTTCAAGTCAAACATACTATATTTGTAGTTTTCCAACAACCTCTTTATATTACTATAGATAAATTATAAAAAATTTACTAACATAAATTATAAATATATTTAAAAGCTAATAAGTTTTATATTTATTATCAATTTTCTTATATACAATATCTTAAATTAACCTTGTATTGATGATATTCGATTTGACATTTGTATTGTACATAAAAATAAATAAATAGTTATATTTATCTTTAGAATAAAAAAATAAATTATATACTAATTAAATAAATATTTTAATTAATTTAACTACAAATTAAAAATATTATATAAGTTAAAAAATTATTATAATATAAGATATTAAGCCGTGTAAGTGACGAGTGTTATTTTAAATAAATAAAATATATTTAAAAATATTAAAAATTAAAACCTTTTTTAAAATTTCAATTTTAAATATAAATTTTTTAACAACACCCGAATAGTGCACGAGTATTGTAATGTAAATATAAAAAAACTTAAATGCATTTTATAAAAAAAATACAATAGAAAAACCCCCTTAAATATGGAAAAGCTTTTAACAAAAGAAGTAGTACATGTTAATTTTCGTATATCCCATCTCTGTCCCAAGCTTTTGTTCCGACCATCTCTCGATCGCAGTTTTATCTCTCCATCTCTTCTACTCCTCGCTACTCGTGAAATATGGAAAACAGTGAAGATATTGGTGGCGAACATCATGACAAGCACGACGATGAAGGAAGACACGATGACGAGGTTTCGATTTTCATTTTGATTTTTTGTCCCTATTTGTTGCTTTCCTTTGAATTTTCAAGCCAGCAGATGCAGATGCAGATGCAATTACGATCATTATTTCACTCGAAGAATTTGAAGATTCATATTTTTTTTATTTTTTTTCCCTCGTTTTGAGAGCGTAGTTTCTTTAATTTAATGGCTTATGATAATATGTTTCATCTGATGCAGGAAGCTGTTGCTCGCCTTGATGAATTTAAGAAATCCATTGAAGCCAAAATGGCTCTTCGTAGGAATAATTTGAACCCTGAACGGCCTGGTTAGTGCTTTATTCGTGTGAAAATAAATTTATTTAACGGATTCGACAAAGAGAGTAGTGCTCTATTTTCATTTGTAGTTGAGTATGTTACATAGGTTAAGTTTATCTTTGGTGTTTATTAATCATTTTTCTGTTCATGAACCTGGTGCTGTAGCATGTCTCATTGTCTCTTGACATTGTGTAAGTATCATCAATTCACTATAATGCTCCCCTTATCCCGAACCCAGATATAGAAAGAGCTTGTAGCAACTGATATCTTGTGAATTGTTGTTCTGTCCTGTCAATGATCCTCATTGTTTTCCCGCCGAATGCAACATGACAGGAGCTATAATCATAGAGGGAAGTATGATCTATTTTATTTCTTGTTTGATGTAATTCCCCCATGGAAAATACTTCTCCAGCAGGATGTATTTAATTTTGGTGAAGGATTTTATTTTCCACAACTTTCTTTAGTTTCTTGTTTCCTCTTGCCAGACTCATATTCTTCAGTTAATGTAGAAATCAAGAAGGCTGTAAATTTCATTTATCCCTTTTCTTGTTATTATTGCTCAACCATGATGCTATGAAGTCCTTGTAGTTGGAAAAACCTTTATACTCGAGTGGATCTTGTGAAACATTGAAAATTCTGAAAGTTCATTGTTGAAACTTGGTCTGTCTTTGGAGTTATCTTGTATTAGGTGTTGATTTAGCTACTTGTCCATTCCAGACTCGGGCTTTCTTAGGACACTGGATTCTAGCATCAAACGCAATACAGCTGTCATAAAAAAACTGAAACAGATCAATGAAGAACAGCGAGAAGGTTTGATGGATGAATTGCGAAATGTCAATTTGAGCAAATTTGTCAGTGAAGCAGTAACAGCCATCTGCGATGCAAAGCTTAAAGCGTCTGACATACAACCTGCTGTACAGGTGTTTGTTCTATTGTTTGCCTTCCATTTTCTGAAATTCTGGTTTATTAAATTTTTCCTTGACTCAATTACTCGAATTTTATATTCCTTTTCCAACTCAATGATTCGCAGTTTATGCTAGTGTGGTATATTCTCTCTGTGACTTCTTAGTCCTTATTAACCAGCTGTAATTATGGGCAGGTTGATCTTTTGAGTATTTGAGTGTAGGATACTTTTATGTCATCTCATGAAGTTATATCATCGACTAACGAGAATTAGTCAACTCTAGTTTTTCTTTTCTTCCCTTTTCGTGTGCGTTCGAGTTTACTAGAATTAGTCCACTCTAGTGCTTTGCTTCTGTTTTCTTTTTTCATTTTTTGTGTGTGGGTCGCAATGCACATTTGCATCACGAGATATAGTGAAGTGACTGGCTCTAGTGGTTCCAATTCAAATATTAATATTAGTAACACAGCATCCGATTTTAGAATTTGCACTTTTTTTTTTTTTTTCAAAACTCAATCCAAAGTAAGAGATTGATAATTGTCATTAGTTTTCTAGTCAAGTCTTTAGAAAAACTGATGTATGAACCAAGAAAAGTATCATATTTTTTGTTAGCTTAAGTTTCATCCCTTTTTCTGTGCTTCGAGCACTGTTTATTTTTTCTTCAGTTTTGGGTATTTAATTTACTAATGACCTATGCTTGACCCATTATGAGGTTATTAGATCTTTTTAAATAATTTGCAGTTAGGAAAATTTTCTTCATCATTTGTGAGTTCAAATCTATCTGGAATATGGTGTGTTCGTTAGGTCCTGCAACTGAGCAACTTTTTTGGGATATTCATGCAAAGTTTGAAGAGATCACTACTTTGAGTAGAAACATTGTTCAACACAAAGCGAGAAGTTATTAGATTGTGGAAAATATTGTTAGTGAAGGTCATTTGTGAGATCTTGTGCAAATAGCTCATGCCTGTTTCTTAGTGTAAGTGGCAGATTGTTCTGTGCTCATTCACTATGTTTTTGTTAGATTTAGCATATAAAGAGAGTATAATTGAGAAAAAAATATTAGACTTCGTAGATGGTTCTTTGTTGTGACCTTTTTTCCCGCTAGACATGTTGGCTCTGTTTTACTTTCTCTTCGCTTTTCTGTGTATGATTGCATTATGTCACACAATTGTTCCACATCTGCAAGAACTTGCCAGCTACTATATCTTTTCGACTCATGCTTGCATTTGAATTATAAATTTATGCCCAACAAAAAGCTAAGTCAATTTTAAAAGATCTCCTTTGGCAAATGGCAGTCATTTTGACTGCGATTACAAGTGTATAACTCAGGTATATTTGAGTTTAGGCTTACTTAATAAATATGATTTCCACCGTTTCAGTTGCTGTATGATTTGGAATTCTCCAATATGATCCAAAAGTACCTAACATTGTTAAAGTGCAATTCCTTTTTTAGCCTTTGTTACATTTACTTCTTTCATCCCAGATGGAACATTTCTATAATAAAATTCTTTTGGTATCAGATTTGTTCTTTGCTCCACCAAAGGTACATCGACTTCTCGCCTAGTCTTGTTCAGGGCCTCTTAAAGGTGTTCGCACCAGGAAAACATGTGGAAGATCTCGATGCCGACAAGAATTCAAGGGCCATGAGGAAGCGAAGTACTCTGAAGCTTCTCCTGGAATTATATTTTGTTGGAGTTGTAGAAGATAGTGGCATCTTCGTAAATATTATTAAAGATCTAGCCAGCAATGAACATTTGAAGGATCGCGAAACAACCCAGACGAATTTGTCTCTTCTTGCTAACTTTGCTCGACATGCAAGGTTTTTTCTGGGACTTCCAATGACTGGACAAGATATTCTTGAAGAGGTTCAGCTTGTATACTTTGTTCTGGATTACATGCTATATTATGTTTCCATGTTTGTTAACTAGGTTCTGCTGTGTTGCTGAGGTCCCTGATCAATTATTTCCTTTTTTTCTATGTTCTCTATTTGCATGAATATTTTGGCTTCACCTACTAACTGTGCATTAAGCAAACCGTGTTCTGTAACATCATGTATCTTCATGGTATTTAGAAGTTCATTCACTTTTTTATCCTTATGTAGGACTCGTGCCTTTTGGCAATTGGTCTATAAACAGGTCCAGTTTATTGTCGTTTGTCCTTTTATTTTCCTTTTGCTGAAAGTTGCGCTTGATCACAGTGTCTGCTCTTTGATTATGGATCCAAATTATTAAGTTATTTACATTAGTGTTTATGGGATTAAACAGTGCATGCAGCAAAAATTTGCACAAATGCATGAACAATGAGAGTTAGGTGATACTGGCCGTTGCATTTCATTAATTCTAATTCTGAGGATGGTTGCGTCTGTTGCTATGGGATATTAGTTGTGCTTGGTTGGCTGTCTGTGCTGCATTCTTGACTGAATGAATTTGTGCACTTGCTATGAAATTTGGTTGCAATGATGTTTTAACTGTTTCTGGTGTCAAATATCTTACAGTTCTTCAAGGGCCTTAACTTTCCAGCAGACCAGATAAAGTACTTTCGGAAGACATTTCAAAACTACTATGATGCTGTTGTGGAACTTCTTCAAGCTGAACATGCTGTAAGGAATTAGTATCTTATGTACTTGAATGTTGGTGCTAGTTTTTTTTTTTTTTTTTNNNTTTTTTTTTTTTTTGTATTTATTTTGTAATATGATCCTTGGTACTGTTTAAATCTTTTATATTTTAATTCCTAAATGGCAGTCACTTCGTCATATGGAGCATGAAAATGCAAAAATTTTGAATGCCAAAGGAGAATTGAGCGAGGAAAATGCTTCTTCATATGAAAAGCTGCGTAAATCATACGATAATATGAGCCGTGGCGTCACATCGTGAGTTAATTTTTACCCGCTGAATTCAGAGATTCACTACTTTATTCATTATCTAGCACTTTTTAGATGCTCTTTATCTTTGTGTGTATTAAATTCTCAGATGTTGCTATTTCTTTGTAATTTTGCGCTTGCCTTGCCTTTTCTGTTTGCTCATTGATTTGGAGGATTATTAATTTATTGTTATTTCTTTTGTAGTTTGGCTGAAGCACTTGATATGCAACCTCCAGTAATGCCGGAGGATAGTCATACAACAAGACTCACATCAGGTGAGGATGTTTTATCTCCTGTTGCTGGAAAAGACACTTCTGCTATTGAAGCCCTCTGGGATGATGAAGATACCAGAGCTTTCTATGAATGCCTTCCTGACCTCAGGTGGCCACTTCGTACTTTCTTTCTCGTGTACTTCACTATATCAAATATTGTGGGCTGAAACTAATATTTTTTTTAGAGCTTTTGTGCCTGCTGTGTTGCTTGGGGAGTCAGAAGCTAAGTCAAATGAGCCGTCCTTAAAGAATCAGGAATCATCATCTGTAAGTGCCTTTACTTCACTGTCCTCTCTCCAATAATAGTTTATTTGTAAAATTACCAGCTGATTTCTGCAACTTCCCGCGCTCCTGCTCTGGCATTTCCTGCAAGAAGAATCATGTCATCATTTTGACAACTATTAGATGTGGGTGGTTGCCGTTAATTATTGTATGCTGCTACTCAGCATCTATTCTAGAAGGGCTTGTTAAGAATGTACTGATTTTTTTCCTCCTCTTTTAATTGGTGAGGATGGACGTGGATAGTGAGATTAGGTGGTACATGTTGAAAATGTTGAATGCAAATTGCGCCATTTGATGAACTTATACCACTGAAGTTGCTTGAAATCTAATTTGTTTAACAATAGAAGCTTTCAAATTCTTCCCCTTATCATTGTATTGTTTCATGGACGAAATCTGAAATCATTTTTCCTGATATGATTATTATCCCGAGTTAATAAGAAAGCTTTCAAATGCTTCTTGTTAGCATCTTAGGTTCAACTGGTATCGTTTGAACATAATCTGAGCATCTCTTTTCCCTAAATGTGGGCATCTTCTGACATGGTTATTTCTTCGGAAGGATGCGGCTTCCGAATCAGACAAAGGTCAGATAGCCACACAAGAAAATCCTGAAACTGATTCTGGAACTCTAACAGAGGATAAAGAGAAGGACAAAGAAAAGGGGAAAGAGAAAGACACTGAAAGAAAAGGAGACAGTGAAAAGGATAAAACAAAAGGTCTTGATGGAACAAATCTTGAAGCTTTGCTGCACAGGCTTCCTAGCTGTGTGAGTCGTGACCTGATCGACCAGCTAACAGTAAGCTTGATTTTTCTTGCTCAAGCTTTTTTTACTTTTCTATTGTCATTTATGAGGTAAATTGATGCATCAAATAATGCTCTCGTTGATAACTCATACTATTTTTCAGGTAGAGTTTTGCTATTTGAACTCAAAATCCAGTAGAAAAAAGCTTGCAAGGGCTTTGTTCAATGTTCCAAGGACATCGCTGGAGCTGTTGCCATACTACTCGCGCATGGTTGCAACATTGTCTACCTGTATGAAAGATGTATCGTCCATGCTTCTGCAGTTTTTGGAGGAAGAATTCAACTTTTTAATAAATAAGAAGGTGATAATTGCTGATGCGCATGTTTGAAGTACAATGTATTATTCTGTCGTAACTTATATATTCTGTTGAACTGCAGGATCAAATGAATATTGAAACGAAAATAAGGAACATTCGGTTTATAGGAGAACTTTGCAAGTTCAAAATCGCCCCTGCTGGCTTAGTTTTTAGCTGTCTGAAGGTATGATAAATATGTGGCTTCTGTATGTAACCTACTCTCTCTCTGTCTGAAGGTATTAATATCTCTCCACTCATATATGCCACCAGTCGCACATGCCAAAGAACTGTGCTTTACATTGATGCGCCAGAGCTTAGTTGCCTTAACGACCATAGCATCTTTTTGCTGGCTATGTCAAGTCTTCTGCTACATTACTCGGGCTAGTTATCTGTTTTTAATTCTGTAATGCGATCTGTTAGGTGTATGTTTTTTTTTAGTTTCCCACTCCTTGCATTTTTCCTTGAAGGAATGTATTTTGATAAATTGGCCTGGGTAGAACTCATTGCCAAAAGATAGCTCAAAGGGAGAGGGTGCCCACCGACCCACACTTATACAAAATAACAGCCAAGTAACTAATCAATGTTGAATAAACATAACATCGAACAACCGCCCTCATGCGTAGCTCGCCAAACTTAATTGGTCGGGTCCAAACCCATCATTGCCTCCAAACAAACAAGACCTGGGGTGCTTTGATACCATGATAAAAATGGTCTTGGGTAGAACTCAACCCCGAATAGCTCTAAGGAAGAGGGTGCCCAACCCACACTTATACACAATAGCAGCCCAGTAACTAATTGATGTGGGATAAACATAACTTCTAACAATAGTCTTAATGGTACACTAGTGGCTTAAACTCCTTAAAGTATGTATCATATGCTTGTCCAATTAGATAGATACCTATTAGGGTCCGGAACGCAATGCTCATGTTACTTGCTGACTGTTTTCTTGGATCTCAGGCTTGTTTAGATGATTTCTCTCACCATAATATTGATGTCGCCTGCAATCTTCTTGAGACATGTGGTCGCTTTCTCTACCGGTCCCCTGAAACCACTGTACGGATGTCGAACATGTTAGATATTTTGATGCGCCTGAAAAATGTCAAAAATTTGGATCCTCGGCAGAGTACCTTAGTGGAAAATGCTTATTACTTGTGTAAACCACCAGAAAGATCTGCGCGAGTTTCCAAAGTCCGTCCACCTCTTCATCAGGTAGTTTTGCTATACATGGATGTTTTGATCTTTTGATTCGTCATGTGGTGGAAAAATGCTTTTAACCCTATAAATGGTGTATTCCACAGTATATTAGGAAACTACTCTTCTCAGATCTTGATAAGTCTTCCATCGAGCGTGTTTTGCGGCAGTTGCGTAAGCTACCTTGGAGTGAATGTGAGGCATATCTCTTAAAGTGCTTCTTGAAGGTTCACAAGGGAAAATATGGTCAGATTCATTTGATTGCATCACTAACAGCTGGTCTGAGCCGCTATCATGATGACTTCGCAGTTGCTGTCGTTGATGAGGTTAGTTCTTATTTTGCTCATCTGATTGCCAAAAGTTTTTTGCATTTTTTTTCATTATTATACTGACACAATGAACAATTAAATTAATTGGAAAAAATACAGTGAGGTAGTATCATCCATTTTCTAGCTATCTGTATGTTTAGAATGTGATTTGGAAAAATTGGACTGTCTATGTATGTTTTCCTTAGTTCAGTCCCGACAAGTTCTTTACTGTGCTCAAGAAAACAATACCTGTAACCATCTCTTTCCATGGGCATGGTATCCTGTGGACTTTGTTGTGTGATTTATCAGTATAAGCTTCAGACTTGCGATGCTAGTGCAGGTGAGCATTTTTTTGTTTTGTTGGACAAGGTCAAAACATTGTCACTTTGGAGTTCCTCATCTGGATTTTCTTGTTGTGAACAAATTATATTGCGACTCTAGCAAGAAATCATGACACCATTATTTTGTGTCCTGCTTAAAATTAATGTCACTCCAGTGGCTGATGTTTTCACATATTGGGCTTGATATTGTACTTTTTCACTGATTCTGTTTAAAATTGTTTAGTAGAATACAGTACTTTCTTCTAGTGGTTTTCTCTGAACATTGGAAGGAAAAGTGAAAATGGACAAGATAAAGGTAAGTGTTGTTGTAACTTATATGTTGATCACCTGGTAAGTGGCAGCCCTCCTAAGCTGTCCACTTGCCCCAAAAGCATTGTCAACTATGGTGCAGGTTGTCTTTCAATGTAGTAGATGTAAATTTATTTCAGTTTCATTCACGTTAATATGTTAATTTCTCCTCTAAGCTGCCTCCTCAGTAGAACTGCCCTGTGAATTGTGGTTTGGTTATAAGGAGCAGAAATATATTTTTTTCTGTAGTTCTGACGTTATGCTATTAATCGCTTCATATGCTAATGTTTCTTGGTTATATCAGCATACTATTTGTCCTTGTAAGCTATTTCTAACTAAAACATTTTGCATCGATTTGACATGTCATTTAGGCAAGTTTATAGTGCACTGTAGCTTTGCTTTGGCAAATCTGAGGCCAATTAGGGAGAAATAGGAAGATTTTACACAGATATTCTGGTTGGGAGGATTCATAATGAGATATTATATTCTTTGTTTCTTTTCAGGTTTTGGAGGAAATTAGAAGGGGGCTGGAGCTGAATGACTTTGGGATGCAACAACGGAGGATTGCGTTCATGCGTTTCTTGGGGGAACTCTACAATTATGAACTTGTAGATTCATCTGTAATTTTTGATACGCTATACTTGATCCTTGCTTTTGGACATGGTACAACAGAGGTATGAATATATACTTATCTGGTCCTTGACA